GAATTGAATGCCCTTCAAAATGATGTGCCACTTGACCCCCCTTTCCATTTGAAATTCTGAGGGTAACATCCACCCCTCCTAGGGGGTTGAACCCCGAGGGTTGAAAATATTCATTCAGAGTGTCCCCCTTGCAAATAAAGTTGACCTGTCTGACCATTTTTTCATATTATGTACTGGAAGGGAGATATTGAGGGTGGGAAGTTTTCAAATTGACACACTGTATAGATTGAATCAATCAAATTAAAAAAAAACAACTATTCAAATAACGGAATTGAATCTAACAGTTTTTATTTGTGTGAATCAGTGATTCCCAAAGTGGTCCAAATTTACTCCCAGGGATCCACGAGAGACTCGACGGGGATTTACGTTGGCGTGATAAAAAAAATGGGGGTTCACAATTCGTAAGCGGGGATCCACGAAAATTTATGTGGTTTCGATAGTGAATAACGGAAATGGCAGATAATATTTTAAGTAGCTCAGCGACTGTTACAAGTAAAACATTGCAAATTCCATATTCAATACAACATGTCGAGACTTGCAAAGCGTCGCCGCTGCCGTCAGCAAACTTGTGTGTTTGCGATCTTGCATGAACTTGTTTGATTCTTCACCAGTATAAATACTAATATTTTATTTTTACCACAGCGAATGGGGAGTTTTCTAAATTAAATAAGTGAGAATCGATTGCTTCTTGAGCTGTATGCTGAAAAAAAAGTTGGATGGAATTACTTTTTCAATTGACCAACTTCACTTTTTTGACATCCACTCACAGCACAATCAATTCATTCAGAGGTTCTCAAATTTTCCAACCCGATCTCCCCCTTCATGGCTTACCATAAATTGGCGCCGCCTTCGTAATATACATATAGGCCTTCTTTTATTACTTCTTGCTTTCATACTTTTATATACCTAGTATATACAAAGCACAGTAGTACACAATACAAACTATGGCCATAAAAAGTATTTCCTCAAGCTCAGCCTAATGCTCATGATGTATACACAAATTGAAACAATCATGGAAACATAAAAAAAATTACAAGTTATAAGTCAACTAGCAACATTATTATACCTAAAGTCTATCCAAATCCAAGATAGAGTAAAACAAAACAAAACCGAAGCGTGATGTTCACGTGATCGCCCAGTGTCAGATGGAAAGGGCAGCGTTCATTGGGGAATTCGCCTTCTTGGTACGAGTTCGGTACCAGCACAGGGTTGTAATCAGTCGTTTGCGTGTTTGTGTGGCGTGCGTTATAGTATATTGTTTAAAATTGTTTTCCAAGATGTCCAGTACAGATACTGCTGATGACACTGTGAGCTATCCTCTGAGTCCAGCCAGGAAACGACCCAAAAAAAGACATTTGAGTGTTGAGATGAAAGAAGTGATTTTAAATGTGTTCAAGAAAGATGTGGAAGAAATTGAGACATCGACTGTCGACGAAGTCGAATCGAAAGTTTCCGATAAAATTGGAGTGTGTTGCGCTTCGATTTACAATGTTTTACGGGAATATAAACAAAATCATACATTTTCCGAACCGAATACAAATCAGAATCGTCAAACTATTATGAAATCAATAGATGATCCTGATAAACATGCAATCAGGAGGAAAGTGCATGAGTACTTTTTCAGAAATGAAATACCCACGATAGACAAAGTACTCACAAAAGGATGGGACTGTTTTTTATCTGCACAAAGTTTTTCAAACCGGGGAGTGATGTTCGACTATGATGACTATGGAAAAACATATTCGAGTGGTTATCTTATAATCCATATGTTTTCAAATAAGTTGGTTTTTTAATTTTTTCAATTTGTCACGCCCCCCCTCAAAAAGCTTCGCCCCCTCTGGGAGTCGCGCCCTACAGTTTGAGAACTTCCGAATAAACTAATTAGCCAATCAATTCTCACTTTTCATCCATTTGAAAAATATTAATTCGTGGTTGGAATACAGCCACAAAGCAAATTCCCAAAGTTAGATCTAATCTTCATGAGTTTTGGGAATATGTTAGAAATGTAGCTGTGAAGGGTTCATAAGAACCAGCAAAATTTTAAAAGTGGTCTATGAAAAAGTTTGGGAACCTCTGGTTTAAATGAATGCCATGTACGATGTACTGTTTGCTTCTATTTTTCAATTTTAGATATTCTGGAAAAAGGAAATAAATCATTCCGGAAGCTCCAATGATCAATAGTTAGTGGTTTTTATATAGCCATTCGGTAGCGCTTTTAGAATATGTTATAATGGATTTTCATCAAGTATCAGTCATTTCTATCACATTTATAAAACAAAACATTGTTTTATAAATGATTTTGTGTACAAATTTAGACTTGTTCAACTTTTTACAACAGAATAAAACCAGTGACTTCCATATTATTCCATGGACAACACATAATGAAACACTTTGAAATGCTTATGTGAAATGCGAAACACTTTACAAACATATACATTCAACACTTGTCTTAAGCTGTACCAAAACCAAAACTTCCCCAAAACCAAAGCATTAAAAAAGTTATCTTGGATTGTCGAATGAAACATACTTGTTTTTGAAGTACTTCTTCAGTTACGAACTGTAGCTTATAGTGTGCTTCAAAAAGTATAAATGTCCCGGTTTTGGTAACAAATTCATGGACTTCTGAGATCTAAGATACCACAACACATTTTTTAAACATACCAGGAAAAAAGCTGTACACTCTTTGAAGAACACGTTTCAGTTTTAAGTATTAGTGAATGGCTTTTGGTTCATTAGAAAATTATGTATTTTGTTAAATGAAGAAGGCGATGAATAATTTTCTGCCCGTCACCCCTCTTTTTTATAATTTGAACAATTTTTAAAGCATATTTTGATATATCATCCATCATCAAATATATTTAATGATGGAATTCAAAAAGTTACTTATGGACAACCTTCCATCAACCAAGATAGAACTTCCAGAAGAAAGTTACATTTAAATAAATCAAGTTTTTTGGATTACTTCATATAAATCTTTTTATACGGGTTCTCTGATGCATCTGTAATGGTTACTTAAATTTCCAATGATTGAGAGCAACGTCTCTATCAAGTTAAACTTAAAAGTTGTTCAAATTACAAATGACGAAGCGAGTGACCAACCTTTCAGGTGCAATTTGTAAAGGAGAGCGCCTATGAAAGGGCACCCGGCCCCCCTTGGCAGCCTTTCCAGGCCGGGGAGATGCCCCGCTGCTTGTCGACCATTTATTCGAACCCACTGGAGTCCCTATGAATTTCCTACACCTGCAATTTGGTACAATTTCAGTACCGTCTTCCATTTTCAAGTTCAATATTAATAAAAAAAAAAGTAAGTTGCACGTTGAAAACTATTAGAACCCTTTTTTACAAATACGTCCACGATATTTTTGTCACAAAAACCTACACTCTTTACTTTTTGTTTGATGATTCTAGTTTTGTAACTCAAAACAAGAATTTCTATAGTCATGACTCGCCATAAATATACAACAGCGTGTTCAAATAAAGTACTCTATCTGATTTTGAGACCATCAAAATCCAGTTTCCCTCAACATGACGTGTAGAACGAGCATAGAATAATGTGTTTTGGGAAGTGTGCCCTGTTAAATATAGAGAAGCATTTCAGAATTTTCAAAGTAAAGTAATTTATTCATTTCATGTCATTTAATCATTCAGTTACATGATTTGATTTTCCTGCAATTTACAATTCAAATTGTCATTAATAATCCTATCATAGAACCATGTATTAGAAAATCTATAGCCACCTAAGCTAGGCTTGTGT